AACAAGAAGCCACTCAAAAAGATAATGATAGGTTTCTAAAAATTCCTAACCTAAGCTGTCCCATAGATGTACATTGACTTGAAGGAGACTATAATATCACAGCTGAAAACGATGCAGAGGAAGAAGAGGAGGAGCAACTCATAGATGTCATTTTCAATAAAGAGCAAGATTTTTGGAAAAATCACGGAAATTTGGCCAAATGCAGGGAAGTTTGCCTAGAAATAAAGGCACCAAGTCATTTTAGAGAAAGAGGGATAAAATATATGCAAGACCACCAAGGTTCAAGGTTTGGAAGTAAGAGAAATTCAACTTATCGATTAGAGAGCCTCAGAAAACAGAAGATTCTTTCAGACTTGAAACTAAGATTGAACATTATCCCAAGGATATATTTTAGTTGAATTAATACTTTTTTTGGCTTCACAAATCAACTACGGAGTTGTGTTGTGCAGTATATCAACTATAGCAGCCACTGGAATTTTTGAATAGGAATCATTAGAAGAAATTAAATTTCTTATTTTTAGTGACCTTTATCAAGTCCCATGATGCATATGCATTATTTTTTTCCTTACCTGAAATTCTGATACTTTCATCCTAAGCAAGGTTAGCTAAGGATGATACGTTAAAAACACTGTATGAGAAGTGGTCAGTATTATTATGGCTTAAAAACGCCTCAATTAACACTTACAGGGAAACAGTAGGATTTGATACAGAGAGTAACAGTCAAGCCGAAAACACACCTTTGCCGCAAAAGCCTGTTTCTCAGTGGCTTAATAACATACCTGTAATAATTTGTCAGGGACAGAATAAAACTTCCAACGTATGTACACCTTGAGCCTAATGTTAATTAAAAGCATTATCAGGAAGAGAGGAATCAAATAGTAGACAAGACTAGTTTGTGTGATTAATAAGCAAAGAATTATAGAGGAGTCTAATCCGGTATTGTTCTGGCTGAGATCAGAAAAATAACTCATATCCCTCAGAAATATGTTAGTGCACTCACTAACAACACAGAAGTCATGCAGTTAGAAGCAAGGCAATTGAAGAATTGTGAATCTGACTTTTAAAGTTTGCTTACTTTAATATAGAGGGATCTGGTGCATCCTGGAGAGTAATGCCTTCCCTTATTTTGCTTTCCCTTGCCTTCCCTGCCCTTTCCTGCCCTTCTGTGCTCTGCCCTACCCTGAGTGATTTATTCACTGTATCAGTGCATTTAAAACATCAAAATGGACAGTATTGCTTCATACTTCAAAAGAAAAGTTTTTTTTAGGTTAACCCAGTTTTTTGAATTCCCATTTTGAGACAAGAAGTCATGGTAAATAATTTTGGCCCAAGCATATCATTAAGCCATTTCATCTTAAATATTGCTTTGCTAATTGTAATGAGCAATACTAGATGTTTAGTATATAGCAAGTTAAATTAGATATAAATATTTCATTATTACAAACCACAAAATTTTGTATCAGGTAAACTTTTATAAAATGATACAGTAACATAGAGGTTCTGTTTTTTTTTCTGAAGACAAATTATGTGTGGCATACAGAAACATCTTTGGGGATGAGATAAAACATGGAATCCCATAAGTATGGGGGAATTTGAGAAGACTAATAAATTGGTCATTAAGAAGACTTACACAATGGTAAAGGCAAGATTTAGGATGATCTCCTTCCTATTATTCTCTAGTCACCAGTCCTGAGGAATATGAATCCAATAACTGAGAAGTCTTCATGCAGTTAGTAAGCAATTCCTCATCTCCCCTCAAAGGCAATTGAAGAATTGTGAATCTGACTTTTAAAGTTTGCTTACTTTAATATAGAGGGATCTGGTGCATCCTGGAGAGTAATGCCTTCCCTTATTTTGCTTTCCCTTGCCTTCCCTGCCCTTTCCTGCCCTTCTGTGCTCTGCCCTACCCTGAGTGATTTATTCACTGTATCAGTGCATTTAAAACATCAAAATGGACAGTATTGCTTCATACTTCAAAAGAAAAGTTTTTTTTAGGTTAACCCAGTTTTTTGAATTCCCATTTTGAGACAAGAAGTCATGGTAAATAATTTTGGCCCAAGCATATCATTAAGCCATTTCATCTTAAATATTGCTTTGCTAATTGTAATGAGCAATACTAGATGTTTAGTATATAGCAAGTTAAATTAGATATAAATATTTCATTATTACAAACCACAAAATTTTGTATCAGGTAAACTTTTATAAAATGATACAGTAACATAGAGGTTCTGTTTTTTTTTCTGAAGACAAATTATGTGTGGCATACAGAAACATCTTTGGGGATGAGATAAAACGCATCAATTCTCTTGTCCTCATGTCACTCACCATCACAATTATTTAAATGACTCAGATGAATATATTCCTTTTTCTTATGTAGTGATTTGTGTGATAAGAGGGCAATGGAGTAATAAAAAGTGTATATTTCACTGCTGGTTATCAAACAGTTTGCGCCTGAAATAAGTATAGCGAGTAATGGCATTTGCAAAATAAGTTGCAAATGATGCTTGCAGACTTAAAGAGAGTCAAATACCTTGTAGAAAATAGTCCAACAAATATGTTGACAAATGAATCTAGGGCGACAGACTAGTGAGAACCAATGCAGTTTGGTTATTGTCTAACACAACTCAAACTTGAAACATCAAAGAAAATTGCCTGAGAATGTAAATTAAAAATTTATGCTGCTATTTTCCCTTCCTAATTTTTAATCGAAAACATTAATGAAGTTATTTTTATAAAAACCCACCAAAAACCCAAATCCAAACCAATCCAAACAGAAACCCTTCTACCATTTGTTTGAGTCCTTGAGTACTTTTAAAGCAGTTTTAATTTGATTTGTCTATTTACACGACCTTAGGAAAATTAAGCATATTTACTTGGTTACTTTTCAAACATATTCACAGACAAAAATGCCTTAAGCAATTGTGTAAGAAACACTGTTAAATTCTAACTGGAAAAATGCAAAATGAACTGCTTAAAATTTCTATACAAGGGGATTGGAAAGTAACAGAAGCAGGAAAACTTTTTTACTTTTTACAAATTATCTAAGACAAATCTTGTAAAATTAAACTTGCCCTCCTAAGTTAAGGGCAGATATGTCAAACCATAAGTAAAGTAGTATACTAGAAAAAGGATGAAAAGTTAAGAACTTCATCCCTGAAGATAAACCCAATAGATACAAACAGACCAAAGAGATACCAGCACAAAGTATGCAAATATTGTAATAAAGTCAAATAACTTGCCAGCAACTGAGTACTAAAGCTATGCTTTCCAGTCTAACTATGCCTCTGGAAGATTTGTCTTAAAAAAGAGACAAAATCAGAAACTGGCACTATTCAGACTAGAAAGAATCAAACAAAGAAATATAAGTAGGAATTTCAGAAGCTCCCAGCTCCACAAAAGTCTTTGTAGAGGGGTACAACAGCTTTGACAGCCTGAAGGAGCCCTCGCTCCCTTTTGTTTGCAGCAATCTGTTTTGAGCTGGACTAGTTCCTTGGTGTGCAAAGGAACATGTAATGTTCAGGTACAATTTTGGGTTGTGTGCTGCGTTTTTTGCATAAAGAATAATGTTTTATGCCAATGGACAGTTATATCTTACTGTAAAGCTGTGGCCCCAGTGCTGGTCAATGTCATGGCTCCTAACTTCTGGTTCCTTGCCTTCAAGACACATACCCCTCAATTCTGTGCTACATGCTGAGGCTACTGTGAATCTAGAGCCACTCAGAGCTGCCCAGTAACACATGCTGAGGTGTGGAATCTATGCTAATTCCTGATCCCTTTGGAGGGATCAAGTATGTCCTACCTCTTGATTTCACAGCCTGCTTGGACATTCTCTGAAAAAGAAGAATCTACACCTAAAGTTGGTTTTTAAAAAAAGTAATTATTAAATGGAAATATGAGAAGGATTCCTTTTGGCTAGTAGCTCCAGGATCAGAGCTCTCACCTGGGAGCTGCAAGTACTTGGTGCTAGTGCCTTTTTTGCCTGAAAGCTCACCCCAGCAGACCAGTCTGATGACAAAACACCTGTTCAGAATTTATCCCTCCCTGTTGAACCTTATATTGGATATTTAAAGAGCTTTCAGCCTGAAAAAAGCAGCATGAAAAGAAGCAGGACTCAACAGAGCAGTTATTCACAGTGGAGAAGGAAGAGGAGGAGTCCAGGCACCAGCAGCTCTGTCTCCCTGGCTTAGCCCTGGGCAGCAGCACCAACCATGCCAAGTGGAAGCGGCTGATCCAGTCTTTCATGGATGTCCTAATGAACCAGTACGCTACAAATTCACAGAACAGATTGAATCCTTCGGGCAGTGTAGACTAATGTTTATCTAGGCTTAGGATCCAGATGGGGCTCAACTCAAGATAGGTGTTCTGCTGGTCAGTGCTGTCAAAATCAGATATTTTCAAAACCTTCAGGCTTGGGAGCTTTTAATCACTAATAGTCATCTTTACAATTTCTCTCTCTCTTTTTTTTTTTTTTTTTTTTTAATTAACTATCAAGCTTCAAGGTTCCTGGTTCCTGAGGTCTGTTTTAATAACTAAACCTTTTTGTGGAGATGGGCCTCAGTGATAAAAGGGTTATTTTCATTCAGGCCCCAAATTAATCTTGTATCTTGTGACTATTCCTGAAGGACATTTTCAACTCAGAGGCAAACATCTAGAACAACCTCATCCTACTTTTTTGGAGAACCTACAGGAATTCAGATGATTTGGCCTCTTTATTTATAAAGTTGCCTCATTTATAGACCCATCTTTTCATTATTGAATTTCTTGGTTCATGGTACATTTATGGTATTCCGCTTAAGTGCTATTAATATCTTATTTATTTTAGGCATGTATATATCCACATATTATTGCCCAATGAACTTTAGACCAGATCTGATTATAAAAGCTGTACTCAATGCAGTCTTAACTCACTCCCAACCATCAGGAAAGTAAACATAATTCAGTTCATGCCCATCATAAATAACAGCTTGAAATCCGTGTTGTACAGAAAAAGCTATGCTTACCATCAGCAGCCCTTTATAAGCGTAGACAATCCCAAGCCAAATTGTCATGTGGGTGTTTTCGCAGTGCTCCAAGATTGGTCGGATGGAGATATCTCTGCCTGCAGGGTCCGGCTGCAAAAATAAAATATGAAATATTTGGATTCAGATTCCCTTTGCATTCACACCTCAGTGGATCTTAAATCTATTTTCAGTTGATTGAGGATGTGTAGAATACAGAGTGGACAACTTTAAAATAACTTGTGATGAGTGCAGACCCCTGAACCTGCAGAGAAATACGGTGAAAAACAAGGATCTGAGGAAACAGTTGCATGACAGCTACCACATGGTGAGGTCACATCTACTGCAAAACAGAAAGAAAATGTCTGAAGTCACTCTGTATTTAACACTGTCAGTCACATTTATCAGCTTTAGGACGTCTAATTTTTCTACAAGGCAAACAGCTTGAAAGCATAGGAATGAAAATGAATGTATTTAAATTCATCTTTCCTTTCACCTGTGGTTCTTGTGTCACTGGCGAATGACTGATAAACAATGTATGAAACATTGCTGTGTTTCAGGTGTTTTTTCATTGATAACCATGAGCTAAATCAAAGATCATTTACTATGGAAACTACAACAGTAGCTTAGAAGAGAGCATAAATCATAAAAATAGGGGAAAAAAAAGTCCTTTAGAGCCAGGGGTTGCCTATAAAAAAATGCAATACTGCTGGAAGCTTTGTAACCTTCCATTTATTTTGAAAAGGAGATTGTATAATATTGCAGAGTCAAGAGGACTTGGATACTATCAGGACGGTTTGTATGAAGACTCAGAAAAACCTTCAAGAACCACCCCTTGCTCTCCTCACCTTTTTTTTATTTTTTAAACAGGGGAAAGAACATACAGAGCAAAGGGGTACTAACTACGATTCTGTGTGCAATTAGAACATATATTAGGGTCTGGTCAAACTGTTAAACTGTTTGTTAATGATGTACGTTATATAAAAACACAAGGATCTTCTTGTATGTGATTCTAAGAGATCTTGTTTTACTTATATACCACAGAACACTCCTGTTGGCTATTCTGAGACATGTGTACCTGCAGTCTGTCGTGCTTTACATAATATTGAAAGCTATTTTTCCTTTCTACTCTGAAACACTGGATCTGAACTTCAGCCAAACCAAGATCAACCCAGACATAACTTTCTGTACTTGTTTGTCTCAGCGGGCTTTGCAAATTTCCTTTTTGATGAACAACATGAGTAAAATGTGTCATACAGAAGTATAATGACTATTATATAAGAAAAATTAATGTTTTTACTAATGTAGAATGAAATGTAGAACTGTATGTAGAAGGACTTTGGAAGGATCTGAATAATTTCCTAAAGCTTATTCTTGCTACCTCTGATGGTGCATGACTTTTGCCATGGATTTCAGTGGTCACAGCATTAATCTGCATCTCACTTTCTTCCACTGGTATTTTTGTATGTGTGGCACTGCCCCATACCTCATATACTGTAAAAAAATAATGTAACAAATAAGCAGATAGATGGTGGTGGAAAAAACCCAAACAATCTTGTGCTATACACTGCAAAGTCAAAGGATTCACAATTTTCTTTGCAAATCCTTCAGTAGGCAAGACATTAACATTTAAAACCTTTTCCTATCCTGGACTTCTGTAGAAACCCTGAACAGCAAAATAAAGCTCTTTGAAAAAAGATGTCTTAAAATAAAATAAAATAAAACTGAAGGCAGCAATATTAAGTCTCCCAGAGAGACTCCATCCTAATGGTTGTTGATGGCAGGCAAACAACCATTAGCTGAAGAACTGAAATGACTGTAAGCATTAAGTGTCATCCACAACATTTAAGATGTTACAAATGTTTGTCTGGGGATCAGTTGAACTCCCTTATTCTCCATCATCAGTGACACAAGCCCAATGTTAAGTTTTAGGTACACTGAAAGCACTGTTTCACGTCAAAGTTACAACCTGTTATGTTCAACATAATTTCTTTCTATTATGAAGTAAAGTTCACAGGAGAAATCATTCACATAGAGCTCTGAATATGTAACTGATGTGTGAACAGGACTGTACGGTAGAGTAATTTTTCTGAAATTCTAAATTACACCTAAGCCTGCCAACAACTTCATCTCTCATGGTCTGGAATTATGGAAGTTACATAAAATTTAAGGATGTGGTCATCAGACTGTTTTTTTTATTTTTTCCTTCACACTGATGAGTCAGCACAAGAGTCTCTCTTTGTTTCCCCAGTTCCATATCACTCCTGTCATGTATTCCTTCTATTTTGGTTTCATCCTTTTCTGAAACAAGAAAGTGTATAAATAATTTAGTCTTCCACCTGGTGCAACGGACAATGTCATGTGGTTCATTTCACTTGTTCCTGGATTGAAAACTCCAGTCACACTTGGACTGAAGGATTCCACCACTTTTAACCAGCTATAAGTAACTGGAATAGTTCCTTGTTTCTAAGAATATTACTGAAATGAAAACTGCTATTTGATCCTTGGAAGATTATATTTTTATTTTCCCTATGTGGGTATTCTCTAATTTAATTTGCTTCAAAATTGGAAAGCATATGTCCATTCATTACTCAAAAACTCTCTTTAAAGACCCAGGCAGAAAAATGATGAAATGGAAAACATAACTTGTTTTCAAATACTATTAGAGAAAACCCATCATTTCCTTAGTAGGAATTTTGTCAGATTTTGTGAGGCATGATAGTTTAAAATTTATGTTAATTAAATAAAACAGTGTCATGGTTTGAGATAGCCCCAACATCCAATTCCCTAGCTCCATTCCCCCTCCCACATCTCAACCTAATGTGAGATGGGTTTTTCCAGACAAAACACACCAGACTCAAGGTGGGGGAAAGGGAAATATATTACAATGACTGTACAAATAAATATAACATCACATTATACACATGATCACAAACTATTTCTACCATGACATATGTATTTACAATCAGATCTCTTCTCCCCTCCAAATAAAAGTCCAGGAGGGAAAGAAGGACAGATCCCTTCCAGTCTCTGAACAGCAGCATCTTCTAAGGCAGCAGGTATCTCATGCAGCAGCTGATAGCTGGATTTCTGCCAGCATCCACGAGGGAGGTATTCAAGCTCCCCCGGCCCCATCGCCTCACAACCGAGGGGTCTTCCGTGGACTTCGTAACCCCAGACAAGGTCGGTCATATCACGAAGACACAGGGGGGGCTTCGTGACGGTCTGGTATCTCTTGCAGGGCCTCTGTGCCCTGCCTCTCAGGCTGCCACCGTGGCAGCAGTGCGAGGGGGGGAAGCCAAGGTCAACTCCCCCTGCATTCCTCTCGGAGCTCTCTAGCTCCTTTCTACAGTGCATGTCGCACTTCAAGGCTCTTTCAAGTAAGAGTCCATCATCTTCCTCCTTCCAGGAGGTCTCACAGGAGTTTTGGGGATCTGGTATCAGTCTTACCCCCAAGAACTCTGTAGCTCTCAGCTGCTGGCTCTCCTTTCCTCGACTCTCCTTCCAGGAGTCTCCTCTGCGGTGCTGCGTGTTGCTTCTGCTGCTTCTTCAGTTCAGGTTCTTATCTCTGGCTCTCTGCCACTGTTTCTCTGGTCAGCGTTGGCTGCTGCTCTGTGCCCATGGAGAAAACATCTCCCGGCATACTACAGGCACCTAGCCCAGCTTTATGCTGTTCCAGGTCCCTGCAGCCCCCAGCCAGGGGCTGGGAGGGGGCCAGAGGCCCCAAGGGGCTCAGAGCCCCTACCTCGTGGCTCTACAACATGGCCACCTCTCCTACAACAACCCAAAACCACCACTTCTTCTTTTCCGGTCTGGTTGTGGTATGTTTACATTTCTGCAGGAGCGTCCATTGGGCAGAACTTCAAAACTTCCGGGGGTTTCCACCCCTTGGGGTCTACCACTTCTCTTAGCCTCTGGGGAAAACAAGGTTCAAACTACTACAAACAGTGTATTTAGATTTTCTTTGGGAGATAGGGAAATCTCGTGAAGTGCTCTAGTGGGAACAGGGAAAGAGGATAATGATTGCAACATTAGCAAAAATGTACATGGGGCAGCACTTTTTCAAAACAATTTCCAGATCTGCTAGGTAGTGGTATTTTAAACAAAAGTTTACCAAAGTTCTGTGCATGTGGAGTTAAACATTGACAGGTAGCAATAATTTTACAGTGAACTGATTTTGCTGATTACTTATTGCTACTGCAAAATGACATTCCTGTTATACTGTCTTTAATTTGCCATTTTGTTTCTTCACTGATTTTGCATGAATTTACTAATCATAGCAAAAAGCTGGGTTAAAAAAATGATATTTTCTGATGTCAAAAGAATTTTTAAATACTCTACAATTACAGCTGAATGGGACACTTGACTGACCTCTCTAATCATCCACCATTTGTGCACTTTGCTACTGCTTTAGAGAGGATGACAACATAAATGCTACCAGTGATTATATATGTACTGGAAATTTGCCCTTTCCTTTTATAGAAAACAGTCTCAATGCCCTTCAGATGTCATTCTCAAAAGCCTGAAGACCTTCTGCCTTGTGATTAGTCTGAAGCTTTCCTACCTCTTCTGAAACCTAATAAGATTTCTGACACTGACATCAATTTCTGGAGTGCTTTCAGCAGTTGAACATAAATAGTTTAATCTGTTCACTTCATACAAGAGTTGTGTATCATCACCAGTAAAATGCTTGTTTTACATGAGATCAGCTAGGTCTAGAAAGCAACCCAAACCGGTAAACAGATTATCCACAGAAAGTTTACATCCTCTGTGTGTGTGTGTTTAAACTATTATTAGTCAATTCTGTAGGCCTCTGCTCTTCAGTCTGCCTGGAGTGCTGGCAAGTCCTCATCATAACAGGTGAGCGACGGCTTAGATGGGTATTGCCAGAATGAAGAGTGAAGCTTAAAACTACCTGGAACCATCAGGGAAATTTGCAGGAGAGACCCTGTGATGACGGAGACTGCTGAGTGCCTCCTACCTTCCTACATCCCCTCCAAATAGCTGAGCAGCACTGAGACTCTTGTTTCCTTCGCGTATGTATGGATTGCAATACCAAACTACAGGCTTGAGTTAGGTTGTTTTTCAGAGTGTCCTGTGTTAGGGAGGCAGAA